AATCTTTCTTTGTGATTTTTTTTATGAAAACCAGAAACATGCATACTTTTTTCGTGAGCTGTTCACATTTATTTCAGTATCCTAAAGGTCTTGGCAGCACTGTCTCGGAGTTGGATGTCAGCCATGCTAAAGGAATATATCCAAAAACCAAATTCTCAATGGTTGTTCCAGAAGTGGAAAATGCCATGAAGGAAATTCCAAACTTGAAATCTGTTGTATTACTTGGAATTGAGGTAAGAATTACAGTTTAGCATCTTAACTATAAAATACTTGATTTTAGCTGGAATTAATTTTCACTGAAAAAAATAAATTCAAAAAGATAATTCACAGTAGCAATTTTTGTGCATGTTTGTTTTTTTATTTCATTTTATGATGAGCATTTTATAGAGATTTTTGTATTGGATTGTTAATTTCTTTGTTTTTGTAATATAGGGGGTTGTCTTTGGCTGAAGGACCATTCAATTAGATTTTAGAAAAGACCTTGATTCACTTGTCTGAAAAATAAATATAAAAATGTGACAGCCATCGTGCTGCGCCCTGTTCGATATGGGACTCATAGCGATGTATACAACGTGTGTAAAATGCATTGTTTATTTACATGAAATTCGAACATGAGCTGCGTGACGACCACGGCGCTTTAAAGAAGGATTTTCGCCAGATATAGTTATTGTTATAAGTATTCATACTTTGCCGCTGTGGTGGAGGTTTGCATTCTGATTGCTTACTAGTTGTTTTTTTTTTTTTATAAAATATGCATTGTTTAACTAAGATGGCCTATGTTCTTTATATTACCGGGGATTCAATTTTATTAGCTCAACATTACATACAGACCTGCCAGGAAATATTTACGCACCACACTACACGCAGTTACTACTTATGATATCATTCAATAAAATAACTCAATAATGGTTTGAATAAATATACCGGTATTTGTATATTGAATGAAATATGCATTTTTACACACAATAAAAACAAAACAATATTGCAATTATCATACAAGATTGAAAAAAACGTTTGAATTCTCTATGGAGAATACTGTGTACAACCCAGCAATTGTCAATGATGCCTGCATTCACCTCTTTGCTGGATAATTTCTCTAAGCCGTTTTGTCATTGTATTGACAAGTTTCCAACACATGTTCACCTGAAACTGTCTCTAAGATCTACATGTATTATATTTGCAATACTATTATACTTAATACTAGCAACTGGTCGGGAATGAACCTCTAAGTCGATCAACTCCCAAAGGTTTCTCAATAGGGTTCAAATCTGGAGACTGTGTAGGCCAATTCCAAGTGGTAAAGTTGTCAAAAAGATATTCGTAGTCTTTTGGATTATTTAGAAGATCCTTCACTGCCAATGCTGTGTGAACGGGGGCGGTATCCTGCTGGAAATAAAAATCAGGTCCAACGAGTCTTATTGTCAACGGTATAATTTTGTTTTTTGTTGATACACGAACTAGTGATCCTAAACCAGTAGCCGAAAAATACCCCCAGATTTATAACTAAAACAGATATTAAATAACAAATAGTAGCAGTAATAATAGCAACAGAAAAAATAAAAATTTAAAATATTAATTAAATAAAATTACAGGATTGCATGATTGGTATATTTATTGACAATCTGCTCATTAATATTTCAACCAATCAAATGCTCAGAAATGTATCACTGATTGTGTGAGTTATGCTAATGGATTGAATATTGCAAAGTTCTGTGATTGTTTATGTTATTCTTTTACAGGCACATGTGTGTATCCAACAAACCACGTTGGATCTGTTAACAGAAGGTGTAGAAGTCCATATTGTTGCTGACGCTACCTCATCCAGAAGTCAGATGGATAGAACATTTGCATTTAGTGTAAGTTTTTTTGTCTGTCTTTTATTTATTGTAAATATCAAAAACTATTTGTGTACTAGTACATTTTTTTATCCATATTCTGTCAGACATCATTTCTCAAATATGTTTTGACCGATTTTGTTGGTTGTTGCACAGCTGGATTGACAGTTTGGTCTTAAAATCTATATTTACTTGAGCAAGACCATTACTCAGAACTGGCTCCAGGACAATTTTGAACTTTGCGCGAGGATAACACATACTGATACAGACATGGTGTTAACAAGCAGTTAAATTTTGACTTACAAAAATATTTGAATATTTAGAAATGATCTATATTGCTCTTGACTTTCATCACGCTATATTTATTCAAATGAAAGACAGAAACCACGTGAACAATTCAAAATTAAGAACAATCATTTTTCAATACAAAACTACATGGATAAATTCATAATGATTTTAAACACAACAGAGTCATCTCTACTTAAACATATTATCAGATACATGTAAATTGTTTCGACTGAGAGAAAGACTCTATAAATATAACCACTCAGTTATTTATACTTCATCAGATAAAAAAAAACACATCTTTTTTATTAACAAACCAAAGAAAATTTCTTTATGGTTAGAATAACCTTTTCACCACTGGACTTTCTCGCCCCAATTTTTATGCACGTTTTTCTTATATTTTTCAATAATACTGAAAATGAACCCTTATTTAGAGCCAACAGACAAAATTTAGGTAAATTTTCAGTTTTTATTAACAAAAATTGGCTTTTTTTGTCTCAATCTTCTGAAGGAAAGTGGAGATTATAAAGGGGACTATTTTGTGAATTTGTGATAAAAAGAGGGAGCTGGTTGTGAAAAAGTTAAAATTACTATCATTAATTTTTTTTCAGAGACTGCGTCAAGCAGGAGCAATTATCACAACCAGTGAAGCTGTCCTTCTACAACTAGTTGCTGACAAGGACCATGATAAATTTAAAGAAATTCAAGGCCTAATTAAAATTAGTGCCCCCATGTCTGGCCTTGAATCATCTCTGTGAAAGATAAATTCATGTTCCAGAGCCAATGCAATAATTATACATGTGACAGGACCTTATAACCAATAGGGTGTTAACATTCAGTAGACATGTGACAACAGACAATGCATATATAATGAAGAAAAAAACAACATTCATTGAGATACAATTCAGATTCCTTGGGGTTTTCACTGGTCAATGAATATTCAGTTCCCAAGGCCAAATTTGGTTAAATGGTGAAACGTACACATTATTTCCCCGGGCACCATTTTGTGAAGGGAAACTGACAATATTTGACATGATGTCTATTAATCGCAGGTATTTTCTCCTATCTAGTGCCACCATGTGGTGACAATGATTTGGTTTAAATAAGTGATTAAAAATAGATTTATTTTTCAAGACATCGCAATGATGTGTTTTAGTCTTGTAATTCATGATCACTGATTCGAGAATGTTCTGGGAAATGTACCTGTGTGGTTATAATGAGAAAATCACCAGAGTAATACTGTAGAATACTTTATTTTCGCTTGGAATTTATTTTCGCTATTTTCGCAGAAGGGATGATTTTGTGAAAATAAAATCCAGCGAATATACTTTTTTTCCTATATTTCACATTAAACTCAACAAAAATTAGTGAAAATAAAATCCATACAAAATGCCCAAAAAGCATTTTCAGTGAAAATTAATTCCAGCAAAAATAAAGTATTCCACAGTATGTATGGTAGAAATACTTGTTGCATAATT